AATTGAAGGCAAATTACAGCGCAGGAACACGAGAAAACACGGTGATGCAGGACGCTTGCAATACTTTGGTCACTTCAGTGCACGCAGTCCCACAAAACTGGATGTCACGATGCATAAATGTGACATATTTTACTCCATATTCATTCCTGCTGTCTTACTGTTTATATTTTACTGCTGCACAGTCAGCGTGCAGCACCTATCATGGCATTTTGCATGTACAAGGACAGTAAAAGGCTCTTCTACTCTATTCTATTCTATTGTCATTTGCAAACACTGATGCAGCCGTGTATTTATGTGGAACATTTGTAATATTACTGGACATTTGAACCTAGGCCAATATCAACGAGTTACAGCAGCTTTGAATTCATTTCAGACTGGATGTAGCCAGTTACAATTCAAGTCTCACATAAGAAGTATTTTGTTAACTTTCAAGTCAGATAAAAGCTTTGTTGAAGAGTGTACGGCTTCACTAACACCTGAGGGTGTTCTATAGCAAAATCAACTGTGATGTGCAAACGTTTGGAGGCCTCGAGGGCCAAAAGGTCAGATTGCTGACTCACTGACTCAGAACAGGACGTTTACATGGAACTTGCTTTTGACAAACATTGCAGTACCTCCACCTTTCTGGGTTGATCTGTCCTATATACATTATAGCCATCAATACTTATAAGCCTACTTGTAATCGATTTGTCCAATGTGCCCATACACAAAGCATATCATGGAACATAAGCAACCAAGATGGATATGATGTGGTTTAACATTCCCAGAGATAAGAAGTAGCAGAAGAACGACACGCTTCAGTTTAAAGATTTCCTCGAATTATTTTTTATAATCTAATTCTATTCTAAAATCATGTTTAAAGGAAAGTACAATTGTTGTGAAGAGCCATAACACAAATCATTTGGGGCAGTTCCACAAAAGAGAAGAACAAGGGCACAGGTAAAGACTTCATTCACCTCAGTGCACCGTCACTTTTGTACACCACGACATATATTTGCACACATGCTTGTCCTTATTTATATTCATACCTACATCTCTGTATTCATCTAGTCAGCTCAATATTTATCTAACAATGTCTCTGCTTCTACACTCATTTATATGAGTTTGTTGTATATTTGCTGCTCTGACAACTCAATTTCCCCTCTACGATGAATAAGGTTTCTCTGATTCCAATTAATGTCCATTAAATCTGCGTGATCAATGGCATGCAATGGAATTTAATGGCAAAAACGCATTATTTTTTTTAACACATTGGGGGTTTACATGTTGTTTTAGTGAACGACTAAACTAACTCTGATCAGCTGTATGGAAACAAAATAAACAGACTCTTCATATCAGAAGCTCAACCTGCACTGTGCTCACAGCACAGTCAGCGCTAAATCTGATTTGAACTGACCAAACTATACAGTACCTGTATGAATACTATGAAGGCCAGAAGTGAGAGGCTGTGGAGTGGGACGGTTTGTGAGACTGAGATTACCCAGAATGCACCAGTAAGCGACACAGGAAATCATTCCTGGCTGTGGATACCTCCCTGCACAGCTCCTCCATCTAATGCACAAAACACACTTTTGTTCTACGGTGAAAATAACAATTTGTTACAGTTTAGCCTAAAATGTCAATGACATATTTCTCCTCTGCAATATTTTGGACATTTATAATGGAGCTATTTATATATATTACAGCTACACCTTATATTTTCTAACTGTGTAA